GTCTGTTTTTTTCCCCTAAGTGAACTAAATTAGGAGGTTCTATAGCCAATAGTCACTATTGATTGTCACTAAGCCTCTGCAGCCTTTCATTTTCATTTCTATGTAGGTTAGAAAGGAACACGAAGCCAGCATGGTTTTTACAGCTGGCAATACTTTGTAACAGTTGATACTACCTAATAGTACATAGGCACATAGGCAGTCTACAAATTCTTCATATAATGGAAGAAAATCAGTAACACTGGTTCATATTCGTCTCCTTGGCTAAATCTCTATGTCGTGTTACTATTTGGTCCCTTTGTTCCATGCAGTACTTGGGTTCATTGGGAACTTACAAGTTACCCAAACTATAAATGTCATCACTTTGACATAATGTATGTTTGATTTTGCATTTATGATGATATTTGGCTTGTCTTGGGCCTTGATTTTATTTAAATGTTTTCCATAAAAATATCTTGTATATTCCCTCAGCAATAAAGCAGATTCACTTGAGCACTGTATAATGACTGTTATGAAAAAGATTGGCTGGCGGGCAGCAGTTGTAAGACACTTTGATGAATGAAGACTCCAAATATTTTTGTATCAAAATGAAGGTAACACTCTGGGAGCAGAAAGAACCTGAATTTAGTGATATTATGACCAGCATAGACCTTTAATAAGTATTGCACAGCTAGCACATTTTGTTACTGGCAATGTAGTGATAGTACTATATTCATGTTCTACCAAGTTTAAATCTAAAAGGACTCTTCTGCCCGAGCCCAGTTTTAGGGAAGTTCCACTCTCCATCTTCCCTTTAAAACATTATTTCAGTCTTGGCAGCAAAAAAGAAATGAGGGAGTTTTCATACAAAAAGAAAATGCACTATAGTGTTTGTCACATCTCGGCCGCAAAAACTCAAATCCTGAGAAGTCTTGTGCTCATCATCTCCATATCAAATTGTGTGCTTGTTATTTAACACCTACAAATGATCTTAGAATTATCTTACAAGACTTAATTATGCCTGGCTAATCGAAGATTGTCTTGATTGACTTGGCATTATTTGTGTTAGTCTGTTTTTCCTCTCTTCTATATCTCACATATTGGTATAAATTGAATTGCATGTGTGCATTTTTTTTGTTTTGCCTTAAGCAGGAGTTTGCATGGCATTAGCCCTCCATCCACAAAGCATTTAATTTAAAACGTAAACCACACAGTTTTGCTCACACATCTCTGCCTCTTTCAGCCTAATCCGCTCCTTGCGATATTAATGAATTTCAAATCAAGGCAAATTTTGCTGATGAGAATAAATCCTCACTTGATTATGAATGAAATGGAATGGTACTTGGCCTTATATATATTCATGTTTTACCCTCAGGGAATCCGCTGCACTGAAATCCTGGATGTCGGCTTTAGATCTTATTAAAATGTGTGCAAGATACTTAGGAATATTCCTGTTGAAAGACTGTTATCTAAAGGATATGTTGAAGGAAAGGGGCACAATTGATATTGCTTGCTAAAAGGATATTCTTTTCCTTAACTGACACTTTTATACCTATATATACGGTTTCTTTGAAATGCCAGGTTTATGGCTCCATGGTGGGATTTGGAATTGGAAAGCAAAGCAATAGAGCCATAACTGAAAGCCATTAACACTGCTTCCATTAATTATAATCACACTCCAGGATATTAGGTTACAATGAAGCCTATTTCTTAAATTATTCAATTATGCCTTCTTTTCGTTAGCCATCTTGGTTACAACCGGTTATTAAAGGTTACCATAATAATGAGGCCATTGTTACAGTGTTGGTTGACGATCCTAATGTCTGTGCTGTAGGCTATTACAGACACCCCCAGCTTTTTTTTAAGTGTGTGAATTTTAATTTTTTTTATTATAATTGGCAGAAACCTTTTTTTTAGGTAGGTGACCAGGTGGTTTTTCTGGAATACATTGAAGAAAAAGTGTGGTCACTATCTTTTCTGTGCTCTCTGGCAGGGATGCTAGGATCACAGGAATGGCTGAATTGAATTAGAAACTGTTTGGCAGATGTACACATATGTATTTTACTGTGTATTACGCTGTTTGCTTGAAGTTCAGCTTGAATCCCCTCGCAATTGTACATGCTAAAACAAGGGTCCCTTGAAAAAAAAAAATATTGACTATGTTCAATATTCAAAACAATGGATGTGTAACATATGTTCTTTCTGGTTTTTCTATATATCCTTGGTGTTGCTTGTAACAAACATATTGGGGAATTGTATGCTGATCCTGAATTTTATCATATACTTGTAACTGTATGTCAAATAAATTATGTTATGTACTTATGCATCTTATTAAACCCCATAGTTTATCTTGTGGTTCCATGTATATTGTAGGGGGAGAGGTGGCTTCAGGGTGCGCATGTCGAGGCAATTCATGAATTTGTGAATCTTAATTGACAGTTGAATGACAGGATGCAAGGCTTAATTTATGACTTGTGAAACCTCAGGGCCCCATGTACAGCTTGGGTTTGAGATCCAAGGATGCTCCAAAGGGACACGGGTTGATTTGAAAACACAGGTGTTAATAGGCTCCCCAAGACACTGTTATGTTGAACTCATTTAAGGCAAGGTCAGGTTCATTTTAAGCTTTACAGTCTAGGACACAAAATTCCAGTGTACTACTAGGCAGTTTTGTGGTAAATGAATTCCGCTTTTAAATGCAAGTACTATGGAACAAATTAAGAAAAACAGAAGGTGGTTAAAGTTGCCACACAAGTGCCCAGTATATGCCCATAAAAGGTACTGTATAACCTTAAAATAGAAACTGGTAACATACATTGGTGTCAATTCACTTAGTTATTCACTTAGTTCACTGAGTTATTTTTTTTATCATTTCAGAATGTCTGCATCATGTAGGAATCTTGAGAAATCCGAAATTAACTTTTAATTACTATAGCTTGTTTAAACGCATAATGTTAATTTATACATTATGCATAGCTTCCGATACATAGCACAAAATCAAGAGGACTAAAAATGTTTTGCTGCTTATTTGCATTTGTACTTAGTGTCCGGTGCATCTTGTTGCAGTGTCCAACAATAGTCAGCCAGCATTGATGGATTCCAGTTGCCCTGATTCCATTTTTCCATTGTAGCAATGAAACTGTTCACCATATTGGTCACTGACTGCACCTAGATTTGTAGGAAAAAAGTCAGTGTGAATGAAGAAAATGGCATGTCCAACATGTACAAGTTCCACAAACGTTATGCATCCAGCCCTTTGAGCATGCCTGGACATGTATAAGCTACACATAGCATCATTGAAAATATAGTAAACTTAAAATGTGACAAGAAAACAAAAGATTTTTTTTAAATGGTACGTTATAGGCTAAATTACACTTTATTGTTGTGATTAGCAGCCCAAAATCTATACGATACACCCAGAAGTGTTCAACAAGCAAACTCTTTGTTGTCCAGTTTAATTTACACATTGCACTGGGTGTGTAAATGATCTTTAAAGCTTTTAAGCTGTGTTTATGTGCAAAAGGCTTCTGCGCAGTATACAAATCTTACCTTGCAGCATGTTGCAAACAACGCCCAGCTTCCGGGCACTGATGAGAGGGAGATATGTGACTCCTGCAGTGCAGCGCTAAAAACTTTCCAAATCCTTATTTGCACAACCTTTTTTTTCTAATCTCACAAAGTGTTAATTTATCATAACGTCATTCAGCTCCTTTTCTTGCTCCCCTATGTAGACACATCATTGAAACTCCGTTATCACCATCTTAAAGCTAGCGTAATTATTACAAAATATATATAATGTACATGCGGTAAATCCTGCTGATCATGCAGTAATGCTTCCAGTGAGATGAAAAATTATTTGTGATAAATGAAAACAAGTCTTGGTAATAAAAATATTCCATGCATTTTGTAAAATGAGACTGTTGTCGCACATGTATGGAGTGCTTTTTTGATCCAATTTTTTATCTTATATTCATTGTGTGTGTTAGTGGGTTTAAATGTAGCTTAAGGCTAACCTATAGTGAAAACAACCTGCTTCCCACAAGCACCCCATGCCTTCACAATGCTAAAGCTACTCGGGGCTCTGTCGGTGACAGGCCATATCGCTGTGTGCCAGTTGGTGGCTGTGCCTGAACTCTAATTCTCCTGTTTGATTTTTTTCAGTCACATGACAGGCCACCGTTGAAGCTCAACACAACATTTTTTTAAAGGACAGATGAAGGGGGTAAATGGTAGTGTTTACTGTTGCTATAAGCCTTATGCAAGACTGGATTTACACCTATGGGTTAATGATGCACATTAAAGCATGTTGAGGGGCCCATTGATATCAATAGTAGCTCATCAAAAGGCATGTCAGCCTGCTTCTGTGCACATTGTAGTGAATGTAGACCTTTATTAGATGTACAAGAACAAAAAAAATTATTCTCACAAATATACAGTACGTGAATGAACGCTTTATCGCATCACACAATCAACTGGTCACAGAGGAACTTCAGGAGGGAATTCACCCTGACTGCAGACACAACGACTGTCAGTTACATTCCTGACTCTTCCAGCCACTGTGTGCCTCGGTTTACGCGTTTCAGGGGCACGCTCCCTTCATCAGAACCAATCTTTTAAGATGTACTACAACGCAAATAGATAGGTGTGAACCCAGCCTTAAAATTATAGCAAATATGTCAGTAATATGTTATGGTTATACAACTGATGCCCAACAAAAGTATTTTATGATGATGCTTTATCACTTAAAGGTTTATTCAGCTTTTAAAGAATGGGGCACCTAATTATCACTGCTAGATTTAGATGTCCTCAAGAAATTCAAACCTATATTGAAAAGGCATAACTTATTAGATCATTTAATGGGCTTATGTAACACACTTATCAATTCTTACATTGACATGTTGTGCTTTTTTTATCCAATCTAATGTGGCTGTATGAATATAAACATTGAACAAATATCTTAAAAATGTATGATAGCCACTTATTATTTACCTTAATGGACTACTAATACTTTTGTTTCTCTGCAGGGTATGAATATTATTGTGCCCTTCATGTTTAAATATGCAGTTGACAATCTGAATGAGGTATCTGGGAATGTATTGAATCTAGCAAATGCACCAAATACTGTGGCAACTATAGCAACAACTGCTCTGATTGGATGTAAGTACCACTACGATTTGCAAATGTACCCTAATGTGTTGAAGAAACTTATCCAGTATTCTGCTAGATTGGCTAATTAACCACCTGAAGATCAGGTGTTTAGACCCCCTTCCTGGCTAGGCCATTTTTCAGTGTTCAGCGCTGCAGTACTTTGACTGACATTTATTCCGTCATGCAACGCTGTACTGAAATTAACTTTATACCATTTTTTGGGTACAGATAGAGCTTTATTTTGGGGGAATTTAACACCACTGCGGTTTTTATTTTTTACTATAATTTAGGAAAAATTACTGATATTTTTAAGTTATTTTTTACATAATTTTAGAAAACATTTATTATTACCCAGTTTTTTGGTAAAATATGAAAGACGGGGTCATGTAGGGTAAATAGACACCAACCATGTCAAGCTTTAGAATTGCGCGCACCAGCGAAATCACAGAAAACTACCATACCCAAAATTGGCCATAGGCGACGCTTAAAAAACATTTGCCGCTCATCAGTTTAGTGTTATCAGTGATTGATGGGCCTAGAATTATTGCTCACACTGCGATGTTCGCGGCAATATGTAACATGTGCGGCATAATGGGCGCAATCGTCGTTTTTGCACATATACATGGGGGGGACTTCGTTTTTATTCTTTTTTATGTGTAATTTTTTGGGGGGGAACTTAAATTTTTTTTTCCTATTTTTTTTTTTACTAAACTTTATTGCTATCACATATTGCTTTATCGCTATTGCTAATAAAACCCCCCTATGTGATAGCAAAATATGTGGCAGGTCCTCTTTATGGAGACATCAGGGATCTCCATGACCCCTAATGTCACCTAGGACCCCCCAAAAGAAGCTGATGAAGCACAGATCTGCTCCATCAGCTTCTTTCCAGCTTCTGAAGCTGGAGAGTGACACAAGAATGCGGAAGTGATGTAATATACATCACTTCTGCATTATAGCAGCGGAGAGGGGACCGGAGGGAGCTCATGTAGTGATCTCCCTCTGATCCCCTGTGACACAGGCGCCATGCTGATCCCGGGCTCGCATCGGGCACAACAGAGCCCAGCACCAGCGGGACAATGGCGGGGGGGCACATTGATCGTTACCCCATACAAGCTCTATAGCCGGCGGATCGCTTGTATGTTAACGGGCATCACTGCCTGTTTTTAAATATCAAGCACTTCCCGCTCACGTTCCCGAGGGGGTGTGTCTGAGCGGACGTCTAAAGACGCCCGCTCAGATCTAGGGAAGTTAAAGTGAACCTGTGCTTTGCCCTTCCCCAAGAGGTTTATTTTAATGCCCCCCTTTACCAGCTGCACATACTTACCTCTGCTTCACTCCCCACTGCTGCTTCTTTCAGTGGCCTGAAGTAAGGCAGCCTTGTGTAAGATCCAGTTCACTATAGTCAGAACTTACATAATGGTGCACCTTGACCTATACTACATGCAGGACCTCAAGTCAAGATTAGGCTGCATACCTATCCACTACTAGACCATCCCACTATCTACTGGCCACTGAGGTTGTGGAATCTTGACATCTAAATGACAGTAGTCAGGTTTACCTTTTGAGAAGGGGAAGATTTAAAATGACAGTAGTCAGGTTTACCTTTGAGAGGGGGAAAATCTGGAAATACCACTCTATGGTTAATGCACATAATAACATCAGGGATCTCCAAGACCCCTAATGTCACCTAGGACCCCCCAAAAGAAGCTGATGAAGCACAGATCTGCTCCATCAGCTTCTTTCCAGCTTCTGAAGAAATACAAATTGTATTTCTTCAACTAAAATGTACATGCTAAACACTTATCGCTCTCCTTTTGTGGACCGCTATTTTGATTTTTTGCAGGGTGTGACTTTTTTGGTGCCCTTCAATACTGTAGTTTAACAGTGCTAGGTGTGCTTGACAACTCTGTAAATAAACACAACAGGCATTGTTTATAGTTTTATAAATAAAAACATATGAAATTAAAGAATTATTATACCAAATACCATCATTGTGCAGTATAGTAACCACATACAGAATCCAATTTACTTGATAGTGGGTCTTTTATTTCAATTTGGAGCCCAGTATGCAGACTGGGCCTAGGATCCAGCAGCCTTACCCAAGCACAAAGGAAGTGATCCTTGAAGGCATGAACAGGTTTGTGGTGCACACATTTACCAGTTCTTAGATTATAAACTTTGTTTATACGCTTTTTTATTTACATGGCAAAATTACTTTTTTTTCCTTTTTAAACAATAAATGCACACATCTTCATAATAGAAAATGTGCATTTTATATATTTTTTGCATTGGAACCAGTAAAGCATTGTAACTGCAATTAATAGACCATGGGTGCAATGCTCTAGCTCCTGCAGATTTTCCTTCCCGTCCTTGCCTGTAATGAGCTGTGGACATTCAGTAATACGGATAGGAGGAAGACTGAATGGACTACAAGTCCCCCTGCCGCAGTGACTGAGTGGACTGGTACTTTCTCCATTTACAGATCTTGTCAAGGGATTTGTGAATGGATGACGTGGCTGTGTGGACAGTCGCACCATTTAAAAAACAAAATCACAGCAGCCTGCAGGGAGAAGAACCTCACGATTCAGATAAGTGAGGAGTAGAGGGTTGGGGCTGTGACCATGTTTAATGTTCCCCCCTCAATATGGTTGTAACATGAAACATTGTCAGAATGGTAAACTTAGCCTGTAAAATGCAGAAGGTGGTGTGTACTAGCATTGCGGTATATAGCTGAGAGCAGATGGCAATATAATACTCTGTTATAAATCGCCCCTCCAAGTGTTGGTACCTTGCAGATATCCTTTTATTTTCAGTTTACTAGTATAATTTTCATAGCTAGTCAGGGTTGATGTTTCTAGTTGTGCGTTATACATATTGGTCTATGTTCACTGTGGTCATTTAAAAAGAAAACAAAGTATCTGCTACAGCTGAAGCTTTCCCATATTTAAACAGTACAGTAGTATTAGAGAAACACCCAGAACCTCTTTGTCAAGCCTTAATTCCTCAGTCAAATGCGATGTTGGCTGTAATTACCGTTTTTCATTGAAGGTGACCTTTCTGGTTTGACCCAAAGGCTTATGAATTCTGGGCTTTAAAAGGGTTTTAGGTTTGTTTCTTTTTCTTCTTCTTTCCGTCTATTCACAAATGTTTGAAATACATTTGCAGACCTGGTAGATTTAACATTGGTTTTGAAGGGTGTTTTCATATTTAAACCCTTAGCCTAACAGATATTTGATGCTACTTTGACTGACACGTTTTATTGATGTATCCAACAAAACAGCTTTTCCCATACTTTGATGTGCCACCATCACCACCTTTTGAAGAGCACCAGTAACACTGAGGAATCTGTTCTTGTTCACAGTCTGAATGAGCTATTTTCTGCCAACATATTGTCCCCAGCTACACTGACAAATATCTGTTCTATATCCTGAAGATACTAATTGCAGCTTTGTAGTCTCTCCTTCCTGTAGATCCCATTCTTCTTGTCTGCTTGACTTGGGATGGCTGCTCCACCCACCCAAAAACACAATGCCCAGTCCAAACACCTCACTCTTCTAAACAGCCTGGGGAGCCCATCAAAATGGACATTTCATTCTGTTTAAATCGCTATGCTTCCTCTAGAGCCTGGCAGCGTCTGCTTGTGTGAGTATATTCAAATATGCTTATTCTAGTGGCAGCTGCCAGGCACTAGACAAAGCCTGCTGATTTAAATCACTGGCTGGAAGTGTTTTTCTTTTGTGCATTTCACCATTTTGAGCGCTGTTATGTACCACAATTTTTTCCAAGAGTACATGTTCCTCTGTTTGCGAATCCTGCAATAAAATTGTGTTTTTGTGTGAATATGTGAAAGTATAGTAAAAAAATAAAATTCTTATTTTTCGAATGAGATGTAAATGTCCATGTTTCTCTTTTTCTAATTCTGGTTTATAAACACAGTTTGGTTTGGATCCTCCTGTTTTTATTCCAAGGTTTGGCTAAAAATAAGATGCAGACCTGTATGTTTTACATGGAGTCTAGAAATGTATTTTGCAAAAATCATGTAAGAAGGCTAAAGGGAAGAGACCTGCTGATTTTTTACGTATAAGACTCAACAATCCGCTTTCTTCCTACTTCAAAAGCACTTGGCTAACAAAAACAATATAGAAGGGCAAAATCAACACATTGTTAATCCTTTCCAGTATAATGTGTTCTCTCATTTCTGCATTTTCTGTTAAGACTGTAATTAATAGATTGGCAAGGTTACCATCGTCACGCTCATTATTTTACATTTACAAGGCTTTTGCATTTTTATTTTTGACAATTTTTTTTCAGAAAATTTGTGCTTTTATGTTATTTTTGTCAAGCAATCTTCAGCTTGGTATACAGTCTGTCGTTGTTTGGAGACTATATATTTATACAGAATTTGGAAGCCTTTTTGTGTTGGTTTTTAAATTGAACATATTTATCACATAATGTTGGGAAAGCAGTCAGTTGTCCTGGTTTCACTTTTGCGCACAGTTATGGGTCTAAACTGGAGGGAATCTCCTTGATGGCCTTCTTGGTAGTTTTTCACCATCACTTTCTCGATCGTAGTTGGGTGGAAGACTACCAGCTAAAAGTCTGAATTTCATTTTTCAGAATAGCAGTACTCAAAAGATGGTTCAATTTACCAAACGTTAAAAGGGGATTTTAGCATTATAATTCCTGCCCTTCCTTCTGGACTACAAGCAAGCGCCTTGTTTGCTTTGCAGTGGATACGCCCCTGCTTATGAGACTCCAATACTTTGCATCAAATTACAACTTTGCAGTGAAGGTGTACTCCTTTTAAAAACTTTTGCTACGTACTAAACTGTGCAAAAAGTCTGCAGGAGTGGAGTTTACCCTATTACCTGAGAAATAAAAAGGTATTTTGTAGCAGAGGATTCTTTTTAATGTTTGTTTGAATATTATATAAACCAATTTTTTTTTTTTTTTAAGAACCTGGCTAACACCGAAGTCTGTTTGAATAACATACTGATGCAGTGTAGTGATATTCTTTCATAGTAGTAACCTTAAAAGTTACATGTGATTTGTGATAAGGACCACATTTGACAGGCCAGCCAATCTAAGGATGTTGTGCATGGCTGTAGTGTTCTCTTATCTCATATGAGTGTGGTGTGTGTGTGTGTGTATATGTGTGTATGTATGTATGTATGTATATATATATATATATATATA